CTCCTTCCCTTCAATGGGATAAAGTACCTAGATACCTGTACCGGGCCGTCATGGAAGGACGGGAGCTACGTAGCCGGGAGCTCGGCGTTTGTGTGGGCCGGGACAACGTGCCCGTACCACTCCTTAGATCTCGGTGACGTCCCGACGGTTCCCTGGGCATCTCGCAGCGGATGCTGTCGGCTCGAAACTCACGGAGTCATCCTCGGGGTGTCAATTCTGAGGCTTAGACAAGCATCTACGGACAGCAATTTCTTATCCAGAACGACTCGATCTTCATGGTGATTCGACTCCTACCATTACGCGGTGCATAGATACCCCGTTCTGTAGTGGAGCGCGCTGTGTGGTTGTCTCTAACAATCATGCGAGCCTTGCTTGATGTTTGGACATCAACTGACGACAGACTCGCTACTTCGGGGTTGCGTCAGACGCGTAGAGTTACCTATGGCTGGCGGGGTTTCTGTCGAGGAAATCACCACAGATTATTGTACGAGGTCGCCAGTTCGTAGTGCCCGGCGATCGACAGTATTGTCAAATATGGCGGCGAACCCCCGTTCCGTTGCATCCAGCTCGCGGTGGATGACTCGTGAGTTCTTTGGCTTTAAACAGAACATACGCAGTAAAGGCTCAAAGGAGTATTTCCGGTTCGTCATCGACCGAACAGACCAACCTCGAACCAGCCTAGAACAAGTCTGAAGATTCCTTTTTTGCCCCCAACACTCAAGATGGGCGAATGGCAAGCTGCCCATGCAAGCCCCATCGACAGGGGAGTAAGCAATCTATTTCTGCGACACAGCACGTCCCACTGGACCTTTGGGCGTAGTAGGTTCATCCCAGCCAACAAGGGAGTAAGCAACCTATTAATCCCCCATAGGAACACAATTCTGAAAGAACATCGCCCACAGCATGCTCGATAATCAACGCGGAAAGATATCGAAAACATCATTCTCGAGATGGAGCCGAAGCAAGTAGAGGCACTAGACGATGAAGACGATTGGACGGGCGTTGCGAGCGCCGCCGAAAGACGAAGACGGCAGAACAGGGTTCACCAAAGAGCCTACCGTAGGTCCATTCCACAACCCCGCTGTCAAACATGCTATCCCGTTGGCGAGGAAGGCTGATATTGCAATCCAACCAGGGCAGAAGAGACACCTGAAGCGTATTGCACTCAACAGTACTACAGCTTCAGCTTCAGCAGAGCCTCAAGCCGAGATGTGCCTGATCCCCGCTGCTGCGCCTAATGCACGTAGACCCATGACTTCGTCCCAAATGCAAGAGATGCTTGGGATTTACTATTTGCTCAGATGCGCCGGCATACGCAAAAATGTCGCCGAATTCCTGCAGAGAGCCTCTTCGAACTGGACCCTACAGCTCCCTACCCCGCGGGACCTTCCCGCTCTCACGAGACTCAACGCGTTCGACGCGCTAGCAAGAAATGCGCTGGTGTTAGGCATCCCGGTAGAATTGATCGAGAGCGACGATGGCAACTCTCTCTTCATACATCAAGGCCCCGAGCGGCCCGGATCCAGCGAGGTCCTGCCGCCTCATCTCTCACCAACGGCTCTACAGAGGACTGTCAAGCATCATCCATGGCTGGACCTATTCCCAATACCGAAGATGAGGGATAACATTCTTCGTGGTATTCAGTCAGGCGAGGTAGACGAAGATGAGCTGTGCAACGCTTTAGTCTGCGACCTCTTGGACTTGGACTCCCCCTCCAAATCATCGCTTGTCATATGGGGAGACGCCTGGGACTTGAATGGTTGGGAGCTGGGTCCTGAATTCTTCAGGAGATGGGGCGGGCTAGTGCAGGGCTGCCCCGAAGTGCTGACAGCTACCAACTACTGGCGACAAAAAAGAGGTGTAGGGAAAATAAGAGAGATCAACTCGGGCGGCTCGCTGGCATTAGATATCACATAGTGATTGAAAGTTGTGTTTTCGGCTATTTCAGTTGCAACTCCCAAGTCTCTCCCACTCGCTTCTCTCCCCAGGCTTGATGTTCTTCGGTGGCTTTCAACTCGAACCCGGACTTTGCATACAATCGCCGCGCCCCGATCAAGTGGTTATCAGTTGATAAACCAACGCTCTCGAATCCAACCTCCCTTGCAAACTCAACACAAAGTCGTATCAACTCCGTTCCCAAGCCGGACCCTCTTGCTTCCTTTTCTACAAGGAAGCATCTCAACTTCGCTCTGCCTGCTATTTCGCGGTCCTCGATGAGCATGATGGAGCCCAAAAACTTGTCTTCTCTCTCTGCGATCCAGCATCGTTCTTTGGCTGGGTCGAACTTGAGGAGGAAGTCTGCCGTGATTTGGCTGACCATGGCCTCGAATAGCGCACCGTAGTTGTATTCCTTGGAGTAGATTGCGCCGTGTCGGTGGGTGATGTAGCCCATGTCACCCGGGCGGTGGTTCCGGAATGTGATGGAATTGAGAGCATTGGAGCCGTTGGTTGACGCCATCTTGGCGAATCGACGATGTGCTGCAGGCTGGACGAGTACTTGTCCCTTGAGTTCTCAAAGACAATGCAGCGACTGGAAGACTGCAATAGCTAATGATCCGATTGCAAAACTTTGAACCGTCGCCAATCGGATTCTCTTATCACTTGTGGGAGGGGGCCTCTCTTGATCAGCGGTGAGCTTGTTCCTGGCCTCGGGCCTCTGGTGGGGAATGTCAAAGTCATGTCATCCAAGGGCGCACTGTACTTAAGCGCCACGCTGCATGTCATGTTTAGTGTCACTGGCAGACACCAGTGACCTCAGAGAGTCAGCTTGGAGGCTTCTAGAGGCTTCTGAATTGGCTCGCGCTCAGCAAAGATACCACTGGCTCATAAGATTTCAGTAGTGTCAAGCTATCATCAGAACTTGGGAATCGTAATGCAATCCTCTGACAGGAGAACCTAGAACTCGAAGCTCAGATACAGTCGCTTGACCGTATATCGAAAAGATTCTGAAAAGGGCATGACTCAGAGCAGTGTGACTAGTCAAGTCTGGTTCTTCGCAGCAAATGACTGACATTTAAGAAACGGGTGAAAGTTCTATACTGCAGCTTTTGTCACTCTCAAATCTAAGAAACCATACTGGGGTTGCTGTACAAGGATGGCCCGACAAGCCCGACTACTACAATGTCATCTCTAGACAGATAGGACTTCAGCGACATGTACCGGCGAAGCACTTGATGGCTGGCGTAACACGTCGTTCAACTCCTCCGAACTGCTAACCCCCTCCGCAAGACATCTCAGAACCTCAGTCAACTTCGCCAGGCTCACCCGCACGTATGGCATGTTAAATTTTATGATAGCCAGACGATGTTCCGGATTTAGATAAAGTCAGACTGCCAGCTCCCACGGCGATGCACCCAAAATGTCACCAAGCATTTCCCACCCCTCCAGTCCAACCATATCATGACACTGAAGGACACCAATAAACCAAACATGATGCACCCAAGAGCCGTAGATCCTTGGGATAACCAACAGACAAAATGCAGCCACCCTTCCTCATCAAACTTTGGTATGTCCATGACTCCACACGCCCATATCTGTGCCGCAAAGCGGTTTTTGTCGTATAATATCCCATCTGGAAACGGCAGAGAATTTGCGTAATCGAGATCGAAGTGCGAGGATTGTCCAAGACCGGCGAGCGTAAATGCCATGGACATCAATGCGAGAGAATGACGCTGATGATTAGCATGAGAAACAGGCTGAATCGCGCCCACTGCACCATCTAAGATAAATTGTCAGCAGGCGTTGTCGGCGGTAGCTGCGACCATGATCCCCCTGTTCCACACTCCTGGTTCCCAGATAAGCCTGAACAGAGAACTTCACGATTCGAGTCGAAGCTAGAATTTGCTGTCACTTGGTCCTACGGAGCTGAAATCTCTCGGATGTCCACCGCCCCATAGACATCACCGGTGTTGGTCTCAGTGCCGTGTTTTCACGACGCCATCGGAAACAGACCCCCCTCGCGAGCCGATTCGGCCAGCACAGATTCGCTGGGTTCCCGTATGGACACGTTCTCGTTGACTCAATGGATGAACAAGTATACGAGCGTTACCGAGCAGTCTACAAAAAGAGATCAGTGGACGCGTTCAAAAACATCTGTTCTTTTTTTGAGCATGAAGAGCATGGATATCATATGCTGAATGGTGTGATTCGGCCCCATTACGAATGGGGAAACCTGGAGATCGTCAAGCACCTACTTGAATCCAGCGGTGGACTGTCATCAACTAGATTCAACTTTTATGGCATCAATTCTTCGGGGGACAATTGTCTCACCGGGGCTGCCCGTAGATGGCGGGAGGACGTCCTTGACTATTTGCTCGAGTCCGGCATGGACCCCAAAGGGGTCATGGGCGACATTCCCCCCCTTGCCGCGGCAGCACGTGCTGGAAGTATTTTCATGGTACGGAAGCTTGTCAACCATGGCGCGAGTCCTCATGCTTGGCACGGAAGAAGCCTGTTTCAGTATGGCCTATGTCTTGAACATACAGCAATACTTGAGTTCCTCCTAGATAGAGATGTATCATACAGCGACGGTAGAAAGAGTGGAACGCGAAGGACGAGATGAATACATGTGCTACATAGTGGAGGTGTTCTTGCTGACACCTACGTCCGACCATTGTCAGATCAACCTATCATATTTTCCTTAGTCCGCAGCAAAAATGAACAACCAACCAGGTCTTGTTTCCAGCGGGCCATGGATGCTTGACACTGCAATCAACGCACAGGTCAAAGCTTGCATATAAAGGCCAGCATCATTGTTCCTCTTTGACTCTAAGCCAGCAAGACCTCTTCAACATTTTGCTGGTCTTTGGATTGGTAGCAATCCTTCGTGCAGAAGCAGATGCCTTTGGTGCTGAAAGATCCGGAGGGCGATGACAAGTTGGGCATTGACATCAATGATGCTTTTCTGCTGTGGTAAAGAAAAGCTCGACAGTCTCCTGTTCTGCCATGTGAAGATTAGGGAGCTCAAGGCATGGAATTAGAAGGCTGTCACAGATTCGAAAATGAACATCCAGAGTGCGTTTAATGATTATCACACAAGCCGTCAGGTGAAATCACGTGTCTCAGGAGTATATCTTCCGGGTATGGCCTCACCGAGCTGCCCTGGGCGCCTGAGGCGCAGCCCTCTCGGTGAGGTCTTCAGATCACCAAATCACGTGTTGAAGAGGCATCAACATACACGCTCCTTCCTCTCTTCTAGATGAGAAGAATTTTAAGCGAGGCACTAGTGAGGTTGTGTGCCTCACTGCTTCTTCGTCAGCCGCCCACACGACTTCTCCTCCTGTCAGCATCACGATCTCGACTTTCCCTTCCACCAACCTTCTCCCCCACAACAACCTCATCCAAACAAATCCACCCCGAGCGCACGTCGCCGCTAGATTCCCTTTTTCGCGCCAGTCACGGCGTGGAGTTGATGCCTTCTCCCTCACCTTCACTTGTTTTCCCCCTACAGGCTACATCTTACCCCTGATCGTACACCTCGATACAGCGGCCAAGATGGCGGCGCACAGCCAGCTGTCTCTTCGATCCTGTGCTTCTCTAGTCTTCTGGACTGCACTGGCTCTTGTTCAGGTTCCCCTTGCTTTGTGTGGTTCTGTCCACATTCACGATGCTTCGCCACGAGCTGCCTTTGTCTCGCTGGTCTCGGAGCAGCAAAAGGAGCAGATGGTAGCCTCTGTTGCTCAGCTCGAGCAGCGATTCAACCACAAGTACCGCTACGACTGGGTATTCTTCAGCCATGAGGAGCTTAGCGAAGAGTTCAAGGACGCTACCTCCAACGCTACTGCCTCGACTGTCACCTATAACCTGATCCCCCAGCAGCATTGGACTATCCCGAGCTCTGTTGACCCCGGTCGCTTCGAGGCTGGTCTGGTGCGCACTTAGGGAGTGAACGCCGACAAGGCCCTCATCAAGACTGCCCATCACAGACGTCGCTGGTCTGCTGGACTCTTTGCCCGAGAGAAGCGTCTTCAGGCCTACGATTGGTTTTGGATGGTCGAACCTGGCGTAAGTAGGCATCGTTCTTTCTTCCCTTTCCTCCTTTGCTTTGTCTTGGCTAACAAGGCTCTTGTTCTAGACCAAGTTCCTCTGTGATATTACAGTCGATGTCTTCCGTCTCATGCGAGACCGCGGAATTGCCTATGGAGTCAATGAGGTTTCTTTCGAGGGTGCCGCTGACTCTGAGCTCCTCTGGAAGAGTACCAAGTCCTTCATGGATACGCATCCCGACATGGTTCGACCCACTGCCGATATCACCTGGATCCTAGGCAACAGTGCCAAAGCCAACAAGCCTACTCGTTCATCAGACTACTATGTGGATGAGGCTGACGATATGGAGAGCTTCGACCTGGGCTTGGAGTACGAGGGCTGCAGGGCCATCGGACAGGGAACTGAGTGTGACATGCCCCCCGGTGTTTTCCTTAAAGCTGATCCTCAGCAGTGCGAGCCAAACACTGTTGCCGATGCCTTTACCACTCGGCTTGCTGCGAGCTACGACCAGTGTGACATGGACACCCCTATTGAGATTGGCAACCTCAACCACTTCCGCGGACCTGAGCACCGCTCCTACTTTGACTATCTCGACAATGCCGGCGAGTTTTACTACGGAAACACCAGCAACGTTCCTGTCCACTCTCTGAGTGCCAGCATGTTCCTCCCACGCGACAAGTTCTGGCTCCTCGGTGACATGGTTTGCGAGATGCATGGCCTCCACAGCTGCCCCCCGATGCCTCACCCGACCTACAACTCCAACCTGCAGACCAAGACTAGTCCCAACTATCTGGCCGATGTAGTAGAAGCTTCTTGGTTTGGCGCCTATAAGGACAACCAAGTCTTGCTCATCCACCTCGTCTGGGAGAGAATGGCGTCCGATATGGCCCGCCAGAGAGGTATCCCAGCAGCCCAGCTCGGACACACTGCCCTCGATGAGCGTAACTTCAAGCTCTACAAGCCCGAGAGATACCCAGTCGATGTCACGCTGACTTGGTACTCGCTGGAGGATAGCTGGCGTTCCTGGTCTTGCGATCGCCTCAAGTGGTTCCTTGGGGTGTTGGGATGGTAATCTTTTGACCTGGAAATCGGAATTAGCCCCTGGGGTTCGGGTGTGTATGGAGAGCCAAAGACGGCGCTTCCAAGCAGCAGGGCAAGGGGGTTCAGACTTGGGATTTCACTTGTTTCGCGGTACAATTTAACCTACACAGCTTCTATCAGCACCAGGTAGCCATCCTCAAAGAATGACTGATGATTCATACCTAACATTTCGCCTGACCTGCCTGGGGTACCCACTTCACCTAGGTTCAGTGAATCGTAGACTAGTCCGATCAATACGACTGTGAACATGGCGCCAGGCAAGACTGTGATTTCACCACACGGGCGTGTTTTGAGAATCATCCATGAATACAGTAAACTCATTGAGCTAATCAAACTTGTACATTGAATGCTACGGCAAAGTCAAACACGTTCCCTCGTACCTCAACCTCAGCATCGCATAACGAACCCATTTTGCCAGTAATAATGCCAATCTCCCCCGTACCCTTAGTGGTCGTGGTCGTCATTGCGATAAGGCCAATCCGAGTAGGCTTCATCATCTATGCTATCATCCGCGTCCTCTTCCATCTGTCTCTCTCGCCTCATGGAAGCCATGGCCCTACAAGCGACGCAATTGTCTACTGTCTCAATATAAGACGCCGGCCCTGCAACCGTATACTCGCTGATTTCCATGCTGAATAGTCTGTGGTAATCGTTGAAGTCCGCCGTGATGAGGAGCTGATGATCGCGAGGGCTGGAAAGGCCATGTTCATCGTCGAGTCTATACCATGCATGGCATGCCATGTGGCCTTGACCGTAGGTGCAAAGGAGTGGAACAAACTTCATACGGGGTTCAGCATTGTATTGGCTGGCGAAGTAGTCGCTGATTGCTTCTCTTCCTTCAAAGGTTGTTCCTTCGCAGCGTGGAAGATTGATGCTTGTCGTTAGAGTCGCGTCGTCGGTGAACCATTCCCAGCTGCTATGGAGACCTCCGGCGTTGATGTTGTCTATGAGGGGTTGGAGATGAGTATGTAGTATTTCTTCGAGCCAATATACGTTCTCGTCATTGCACCAGAAGTGGATGGCTTCCTGGACGGGGTCAATTTCGGGGGAACCATTCATGGTGAAGACCTGAAGTAATGTTTAGCAATGCAACAATGACCGCAAACTTTCTCTCCCTTGCAGCTTACGAAATCAATGGGGAGCCTCTGCCTGTATTCGGATAGATACCAGACAACGGAGAGACTCTGCGAGGTTATGGGATGATGGCAAAGAACCGCGAGCGCAGAGCGTAGATGGACGTCGTGTTGTTTTGGGTGGGGCGACAGAAGATCAGGAGGAATCATGGCAAGTGATGTTGACAGCCCCTTGGAGGCTCCTTCGCGTTCCCAGTGAGTAGGATAAGGAAGAGCGAGCTTGCCGGACATGCAGCTGGGGGATGTCGTTGAAGAAGTTGCGATGCCAAAACACCAGGAAGTCGTTCTTGAGAACGCTTGCCTGTCTGTGCAAAGCGGAGGCCACTTGCCGTTGAGTGCCTTCTAACGATGATAAGAAATGATTTTTTTTCCTTCTATTTTTTGTCAATCCATGCTAATGTCATATTCAAAAGTTAAGTTCCTCAATGTTTCCAATGACATATGATCGAGTTTGCGCCTTCCGAGTCCCGTCATTGCACCTTGTTTCTTGTGACAGCTGACTGCACAATGCCTCTGCTAATTATTACGCAGTTTCTTCGCTGACGCTTTCCAAGTGTAAATCAACTTTTTTAGCTCGTGTTGCCTCGACAAGCTGATTGAATGCACAGTCGAGCACCACAAATTCTGAGTACCTGAACTCCACTCTCTTGATCATGACATTTTTGTCGAGGCATATCACAAAGGCTGCCCCGAACTTGCCGACGTAGAAGTCCCCTTTCATATTTTCCTCCGCCCTAAGCGCCTCTATAGTCTTGCTCGCCTCCTTGGCCTTGTTCGCCCCCTTAGTCGTGCTATCCCGAATTAACCCTTCCCAGAAAGAGAAGATTTGTCCCTGTATGACAACTGTTGAGAGTGGGATAAATCTGTTGGTTCTGACTTGATATGCAGTTGGACTGTCGCTTTCAAGTGCTTTGATTATGTTGGACTTTCCATGGATGACGTAGTCTGAATGACTCTTTTTGTCGAGTGAAGGGTCGATCATGGTGCAGTCGTTGGCAAGCCATTCTAGGACACTTTTATCAACCGTCGCCAATCCGAGCATAAAATTTTCAGCTGCCTCTTCTAGCAAGCGGCGAACTTTCAAGTTGTTGTATTTGACCCCAGTGCCTTTCCCTTGCTCCTTCACTTCCTTGATAATGTCAAGGACAGGACGAACGGTTTTGCCAGAAGCAGCCACTACACACGATTTTAGATGGGTATCGCATCACGAAGGTATATCTTCCTTACTTTCTACAGATAAGTGGGCGAGCTTTTCTAGTGGTCGATGCAATGAAGCGTGTGATAAGGCTGTGTTCTCGGCGAGTCTTGGTCGATTGAATTCTGAAGATAATGTTCTGGTAGTCTTTTTTGTTGTCACGAAAATTCACTTGGCCACATTGGAAAGTTCAGATTGGCATTTAAGCATTATTTAGGAACATTTGATGTTGGGCCTCCTTAGTGGAGGATAGAACATGAGATACGATTACTTCCAGATTGGGAAAGCCGGGAGTCACGCCAAACAGGGTCGGTACATTGATGAACAGGACAACAAAGCGAGAACAAGGCCAAAAGCTGTGACGCCCGAGAGCGCAGATCATTTTGGCGGTAAAGTGATGAGTTGGGAGATGTGGCGGCGCAGGTAATCGGTAAAGGATGCAGCCCTCGCAAACCTACATTATCGCGTTAGCGGGTGTCGGGAAAGATGCCGGGACTGAACAGACGAGAGCTTGGTAGGTCGCACAAAGATTATGCTCCCTTCTTTGTATTATACCAGTCACTGTTCAGATTTGCGCCCTTCCTATTTACGATTTCAAGATCAGGATCGAGATGATGGACCTTACATCACGAAGGTTGAAATTGAGGCACAGGCACTGTGTGGCGTCACGACCTCGTGTTACCACTTCCCTTCAGGACTGAACAGAAAAATGGCAACTTCGCTTTGAGGGTGTGCTTCTAGGCTTGTTGAGGGACATTCAGAAGTCTGCTGACCATCAGGATGCCTCTGTTGGCCTCAGGTCTAGACCCCTTACAAGCTCAATCTTCTTCCTTCTGTCAATGTTCACAACCAGGACCCAAATCTATCTTCCTCGTACAACCACATGTGACCCAATTAGATGTAGCATGGTTAGTTTTCTAATCACGGTGCGAATGTTGGTGATGTGTCCGCGGTCGGAGATGTGTGGTTTCGATGCAGGTAGTGGTTCTGTTGAACTCGACAAACAGCCCCATCGCTACTTGCTTTAATACATGCCGGTTTCTGCCTTGTCTGTCTGCGTACGGCATGGCCATACACTCTCAACTCACCACTGATATAGCTTGATTTTTGGAGTATTCTCACACCATTTAAGGCCCAGATTTAAACAGGTAGCTCCGATAATATCGTGCCCTTGTGAGTTTAAGGGGGGTCAGCGGTGCGCTCGCGTCTATAGCTCTCGATATCTCCGTACTTCTGCATTAACAAAGGGAAGGAGTGCTTGGGTTGCCCTCACCAGACACTCGAGGTCGTCATGTATGGTGATCTCAGTGACTTTGATTTATTTGGATCTGGGGTATTTATATAGGTGAGATTCTTGATTTCCCGCGACTTCAAGGGATGATTGTACGAGACTCAGAGGCAAATATCGAATGATGCCATGATCCGGAAAAGTGAAGAGCAAAAGCATGAGCCGCTTGGCCTTCTGAGGAGGAGGCAACACATCAACATCCATCTGCTGCCTAATACCTGGCTCGCTCTCGTACTTCCTTCGCGATCTATCTAATTGGTCGATACCAGTGTCCCTCGGGACTCACCTACACAAAATCCAAGCATCTCAGCTAGCCGGCAAATCTCGCGACCAGTGTCACTAGCCTGCCATGTCAAACCTGATCCGAATCTTTTTCAAGGACTGCAACAAGCGCGGATGGCCCAATTTCGGAGTGGCGTTTGCTCAGGTTGCGACTCTTAACATGAGACTCAATGTTTCGGGTTGAATCTACAAGAATGATGACGAGATCGTCAAAGAACACAAGACCGACATTTCCGACATGGCGTCCAAGTACCGAGATTTGGAAGTCGCGCCCATACTCAATCTCTCCGGCCGCGGCCGCGTCACCTACCATGTGCACGAAGTAGCAGATGGAGTTTCTCGAGCAGGCTGGGTCATCATCAGTGAGTAGATTTTCATCCTCGATATCGACAACGCAACCCAAGTCCAAAAAGCGGAGTGTCGATCCATCGTAGGTGAAACACATCTGTTTATCAGCGATTACTTCAAGTTTCTCATGAGGGATGATGCATACACTGAATCCACCATCGAGCAATTCTATATGCCTAGGAAGGTGATGGCAGTCTTAGAGTCGAGGAAAGCATCTCACCTTGGGCGAGTGGCACTATGTTTTGATGCAATAGGATGAGACATTGAAGACTTTGGCGAGTTCAGTGCAAGAGTTTGGTTCACGCGACTGAATCTTGAATCGTCTCCCCACTGCTCCAACAGACCTGACACCAAGCTCGCTGTCAATGTGGAAAAAGGACGGCATTGTGAGTTGACTCTTATCAGTCCAGGTAGTCAGATTGCTGTAAATAACGAATGCCCACATGCTTGCTCGCAATGGCACGAAGATGACACGAAATCAAAACTAGAAAGAAAGCGTGCTTGGAAGCCTTTGCTGTGATTTACCGATGTTTTAATGTGCCTATCTGTTATCCTCAAGGATTTCGTGTAAGCTATGAGGCATGGCGCCCTCTCTGTGAAGCCCCTAGACCTTCTCTAAAACCCGAAATTCCCCTTCATGACCACGACGTCCTTCTTAGACTCCTTTGCAGCGTGTCTCAATCCTTTGAGGCCGCCGCCTGTGGTGATGGTCTCTTGATCTGTGTCTCGGAACTCGATACGTCTGATGAGGCACTTCTCGTCCACATCAAAGATGCAGACCATGCGTGCTCGCTCGAACTCCGATGCAGCCTTGGCTGCAACCTCATTTTCGCAAACTGTCTCAATCCAGAAAGCCTCCAGATAGCAAGTAGCTCTGCCCCTATCGACGACTAGGAGCTTGAAGACAGTGCTTTGGTATTCCTCTTGGTCATCCTGATAGTATTGGATGACCGAGTTCGCACCATTGTGGATAGCACCCGGGCTATCTAGACTCCATACGAGCTTGGCGTCCTCTCTCAGGTAACCCTTGGCCGCGACCCAGTCTCCTCTATCGATCGCGTTGTAGAAGCTTCGAATTCTGGTGTCAATGACACTACGCATGGGGCGATCTGACACCTCGTCATTCACCTCGGCGGTGAAATGCTCAAGGTCATCTCGGTCAGTGGACATCATGACGTTCTTGCCGTAAATTTGAAGTTAGCATCTGTCTAGGAAGGTGCAGAGAATATTCACGGGTATACCTGAGATTCCTAAGTCAAGAGTCTAGCCTGATTTTGAGTGGTTCGGAGGTGGCTTGGCCTGAAGGATAAGCGATGTTGAACAGCAGCGGTAGATGACTGTGTTTGCGCGGTGCCTCCAGCGATTCTCTCATGCCAAAGGAGATAAATAATTAGAGCAATGTTCTAATACGGTAAGGCGAAGCTGGGCATCAAATGCCCTGAGTTGTGGTTGTGGTGGTTGTGGCAACGTCCAGTGTGGGTGGAGGAGGGAGAAAGGGGAGATGGAGGGAGGGCTGGGAATTGTACGACCTTTTAATGGGGATTGAGATAGGCGGAGACCGGTAGAAGAAAGACGGAAGGTACGATTCTATTTCAAAGGGCAAGTACGTATTCAAGGCTTCTATTTTCTTCCGGCGTATTCGCGTTTACGAGGTCGTTCTATCGCAGGCAGCTGGATTCACGATTTTGACCCTAGCAACTGGGTAGGAGGAAGTCGCATACTTGAGTCGCTTGCTTTCTCTAAGACTCGGTCACTCTCTGAATCAAATTGGTTTTGAGAGCTAGGCCTCCCATTCATACTCAAGGTGATATCAAAGCCTACCCTCCTTCCTGAGAACAAAAGCTGAATGACTGTCCGCATCCTTGCTGATAGCCAGCAGAGCCCATCATGTCCTCGATCACTAGGATCTAGTCATCAAGCCCTGTAACGCTCTTGCAACTGCCAGCATTGTCACAATTTGGACCGACTTGCAACAATTATCGACAAGCTTCATTCTCTTCCCAGCCCTCGGGGCAGCAGCCCGAAACCCAAACAGTCTGCAGTACGATCTGCCTTTTGACCCGTATTCTCCGTGTGTCATTTGAGCTGTGTACTCGAATTTCATTCTTTTTTAGAGGCAATATCATGAGAATAAGAGAGTATGGAAGCATGAGGGCAGTAGTAATAGGGAAAGAGGTCACCGATGGGATGACCGGCATAGCAATGTACCCCACTTGAAGCCCGAAGGTCCCACAAAACTGCCCCCGCGACCGCGACGAGCAGCGGAGCGAAGGGACCCCACCCGGAGCGAGCTTACCGAGAGAGGTATAGCAGGGAACCCGGCAGATGGTCTAGGTACCCCACCTCACCGGCCCAAACTTGCATTCCCTTCACAGACGGGGGGTGGGTGGCTCGCAAAGTCCCAGTCCGGGCGGGCATGACGTGAGGTGACGGACATTTATTCGGAGGCGGGGGTTGAACTTCCCGCTCGATCCCCCTCTTCCGCATGCAGTCTCGAGCTCAACCCTCGTAGAGTTAGGTTTCGTACGGATCCGGGCACCACAGACCAAGGTGGGAGTTTCAAGTATCTTCCAACTACATCCTCTATTCATTCATTCATCTAGGCAGCGGGCTACGATGCCGAATCAGATATCTAAGCAGTGGTATAAGGACGAGTACCTCATCTCCACTGACCGGTCGCTAGTCGACCTCAACGCCGTGAACGATGCCTTTGATTCTGAGCTGCTGTGGTGGACGAAGCGCGTTCCGGAAGTAGCTCTGAAGAGGCTGATAGACAATTCGTTGTGTCTGGGGGTGTACAAACTCCCACAGTCTACCGCCGACATTGCAGGTATGTCGACAAGCCTTCCGTCGCCTTTTCCCTAGGTTCGTTGCCTAACCCTCTAGAAGGAAAGAAAGGCCCTGAACTGGTGGGCTTCGCCCGCATCGTGACGGATTACGCCACCATTGGGTATCTGGCGGACATCTACGTCCTCCCCACGCATCAAGGCAAGGGACTGGCGCCGTGGCTGATGCAGTGCTTGAACGAGATCTTGGACGAGTGGCCCGACTTGCGACGCTTTTTGCTTCTGACGTCCTCGCCGCAAGCGAGTAAGTTGTATGAGCAGGCCTTGGGGACAACGGAATGGGGCGTGTCACATTCAGGGAAGCTGTATCTGCTGGAGAAGCGCGGCCCTGCAATGCCCAACGGTCCGTCAGATGAGGAGGATGAGGATTGAGGGCGGACACCATGTTGGTATTGAAATGTTGTCGTAATCATCATGCCTTGATTGACGTCTTGCCGTATGCTCCGCCAGCGGCTTTTCTCAACTCAATTGCGCGCTTGTACGGGGGTGCCGTCGGTGGCTGGACGGGGTCCAAAGAGACGTGATCCTCGGGGAGTTGGTATGATGCGTCAGAGTCAAACGCCGACAGGTCACCACATGCGATGAAGGGTGCAATCCATCTAATGTGCTTATCATGATCCGTCGTCTCGTCCGTCTCGTCGTAGGCTTCCACCTCAACAACCTGGCCATCTCCCCTCGTCGCAGACGCCGTGGGAGCAGAGTCCCATTTCCCAGTCAGAGGGTTCTGCATAAGCGCATCAGCAATGACAGGCAGCTGGCTCCTCCTCTCCTCGACCATCTTGGGTAGCTCGTGGCCAACGCCAAGCGGGTTCTCAAGACTGGCCTGAAAACCAGCAGGGGGTTGGAAGTTGATGCAGACGATGAAGGCCTCCACACTGCTAGCACGAGAGGATCTCGGCTTCGCGACGATGACAGTCTCGAAGAAGATCTTGAGTTGCGCGTAGAGGAGATCGACATTGCGGCCGCGGAAGATCTTGGCGACGAACTTCCCACCGGGCTTCAGTACGCAAAGAGCGAGGTTGAGGGCGGCGAAGAGAAGCTGGGACTGGACGTAGATATCCAGGTCGTGGAGGCCCGTGACGTCCGGTGCACCGTCGCTGATGACGAGGTCGACGCGATGGCTGGCTTGCTGGCTCTTGGAGTTGGCGGCGTCATAGTCGGGATCCAAGGCCTTGAGGAGAAGGGGTACCGTGGCGGGGTGCGTGATGTCGGCACGCAGAGTAATGATGCCGGGGAGAGGGCTGATGGGTTGCAGGTCGATAGACACGATCTTGACATCCTTGCGAGGTTGTGTCTCTTCGGTAGCAGTCGCCATCTGTGTCTTCTGCCCTGCGACAACAGATTCAGGGGTAGCCGGGAAGACGCCCAGCATCTCCTGGCGGAACTTGGCCTCACGATCCTCCCATGCTGAACGACCGAACTTCTCTCCCTTGATGAGAACACGAGACAGCACCTGAGACCAACTACCAGGGGCGGCGCACAGGTCAACAACTCTTGTTACGTTGGCGAACAGGTCAAATTCTGGACCGTCGTTTAGCATTTATAGTCAAAATGTCACGGGATGGCGGGGTAGAATGAGTCACCTTCATCCAATTGCAGCAGCTTGAAGGCACTGCGTGCACGCCAGCCTTGCTCCTTTGCAAGACGGTAGTAAGCATCGCGCTTATCCTTGGAAGATTTGCCCATCTTGAAGTGATAGCGAGAGTCGGGAAGTGAACTATCGAGGGCTGATATGAGACGGAAATGGCGGGGGAGGGGAAAATTGCCAGCACTGTTTTTTTTGGAGGGGTCAACGCCCGCTATGGTCGCCAAAGAAAATTTGCTGCAGCGCTGTTCTCGTAGGGCTGAATTAAGGTGCGGTCTGTGCATTACCTGGCGCCTAGGAGCTGGTTCTTCCGGCTGAAGTATTTTCCGGGCCCGCCAAAAATTTCGAGCAGCGCAGCGGCGCCGGCGCTCAATTGCAGTGGACGAAATGCGCATCGACTTTTTTTTTTTTTTTTTTTTGGTTGATGTGAAGATTACTCGCGGGGCATTTTCTCATACCATTGCTTTTGCGCTCCTTGTATAGACAATACCAGTACCCTCGATATGCAACACAAGAGGAAGCAACAGCCTTCTGGGGCTGCCCAGAATCCCCAGAAGCGCCAAAAGTCTGCTGGCGGGAAGGCCGCGGCCCCGAAGAAACGCAAGGTCGCCGTCAGTGCGCTACCATGGAAGACGGTCGAGGTCCCCGAGATGTTCGACGATGCCGAGGGTTTCTACGGCTTGGAGGTTATCGAGGGTGTTGATGTCGTCAAACATGGGGATAACGTCGAGTTTGTATGTCTTCCAGCCTATGCTTCTCTTCCTCGCCCTCTCGAATACAATGCATGACTGACTACAATCTAGATCGCTGCTGTTCCCTCTGGCGACGAGAAGGAGAACGACGAAGACGAGTTCGAAGGCTTCAGCGACTCGGAGTCTGCCCCTACACAAACCGATACAATAATGGAGGAGGCGGAGGCAGCACCAAAGGCAGAGACCAAGAAGACCAAGAAGGAGAAGAAGGCTGCCGCCAAGGCAGAACACAAGGCACAACAAAAGGCACAAAAGGTGGAAAACACGAAGGGGGACAAGCCTGCAGACAAAGCCGATGAGACACACGCCGTTACACCTGCACCCGCAGCCGAACCCGAAGGCAAGAAGAAGAAGGAAAAGAAGCAAAAGAAAGCTCAGCCTAAGCCGGAGGACGCCAAGCTTGAGAGCAACGTTTTCAAGGCTCTCGAGGAAGCTGAAGAGGCCGAGGAGGATATCGACACGGCTCCCTGGGTGGACCTCGGTCTCTCCCCGGCGACTGTTGCGGCCATTGCTAAGCTCAAGTTCGCCAAGCCAACAAAGATCCAGAGCTCCTCGATACCCGAAATTCTCGCCGGTCACGACGTCATCGGCAAGGCCTCTACGGGTTCCGGTAAGACGCTTGCATTTTCGATTCCCATCGTGGAGGAATGGCTCGAGAAGTTTGAGGGAAAGGAGGACGAGAAGAAGCCGGATAATGCACCCTTTGCGCTCATTCTGTCGCCGACAAGAGAATTGGCACACCAAATCACCAACCACATCAAGAATCTTTGCGCCGGTCTGACCCACGCGCCCTTCGTTTGCTCGGTGACGGGAGGTCTGTCAGTCTTCAAACAGCAGAGACAACTAGCAAAGGCAGATATCGTTATTGGTACGCCAGGTCGTCTGTGGGAGGTCATCAGCTCCAGCACGGAGCTCCTAAAGGGGTTCCGGCAAATCAGGTACCTGGTTGTCGATGAGGCCGACAGGCTTCTGAGCGAGGGACACTTCAAGGAGGCGGGAGAGATCCTAGACGCCCTTGACCGTGAGGTTGTCGAAGAGGATGATGAGGATGAGAAGGAGCTCTCGGAGCGACAGACGCTGGTCTTCTCTGCGACGTTCCACCAGGGACTGCAGCAGAAGCTGGCTGGCAAGGGCAAATGGGGCCTCATGTCGGAGACGGAGAACATGGAGTATCTGCTGAAGAAGCTCAACTTCCGCGAGGAAAAGCCAAAGTTCATTGACGCCAACCCCGCCAAGCAGATGGCCGCCGGTCTCAAGGAGGGTCTCATCGAGTGCGGTGCCATGGAAAAGGTAAGAAAGAAGCGCTCGCCCAATCTATCATGATGATCTGATCTAACACGTTGCAGGATCTCTACCTCTACACAATCCTCCTGCTCAACCCGAACCGCCGAACTCTAGTCTTCACAAACTCCATCAGCGCCGTCCGTCGCCTGACCCCCATGCTCCAAAACCTCAACTTGAACGCCATGGGCCTCCACTCCCAAATGGCCCAAAAAGCCCGTCTCCGCTCCGTCGAAAAGTTCACGGCCACAAAAGCAAACACCACGTCCGTCCTCATCGCCACCGACGTCGCTGCCCGCGGTCTCGATATCCCCGGCATCGACCAGGTCGTCCACTACCATGTTCCCCGCGCCGCCGACATGTATGTCCACCGCTCCGGTCGTACCGCGCGTGCCGAGAAGACGGGTCTGAGTATCATCCTCTGCGGGCCGGAAGAGGTCGTGCCGACCCGCAGACTCGCGGCCAAGGTCCACGAGAAGCACTCGAGCAAGAAGAAGTACTTTATGCGCACCATCGATATAGATCGCCGCATCGCTTCCCGCCTCAAGCCGAGACTTGACCTGGCGAAGAAGCTCACTGACGCGACGCTCGCCAAGGAGAAGGGCAACAAGGACGAGGACTGGGTCAAGGCTGCTGCCGAGGAGCTCGGTGTAGAGTACGACAGCGACGAGCTGGAGAAGGCAGGGACGTGGACGGGTCGCGGAAGTCAGCGGAAGAAGAAGCAACAAGAGGACAAGAACATTAGCAAGGCGGAGATGGGAGCCATGAGGGCGCAGCTGCGCGAGTTGTTGTCGAAGCGCGTCAATGCCGGCGTCAGTGAAAAGTACATCACGTCGGGTAATCTCGACATCGAGGAGTTGTTACGAGGCGGCACGGGAGATTTCCTGGGCAAGGTTGACGGCTTGGACTTGGAAGATCTGTAGGATGGTAGCCTCACGCATTCACAAAAAGACAATACCATTTGATTTCAATCGTGCAATCAAAACTTTTCATTCCTGGTCCTCTTGAGCTACCCGTTCGGCTCGATACCACGACCAATTATTATATCCATAGCGGAATTCCGTAACTATAACCGTAACCGTAACCGTAACCGTAGACCATTTTCTTGATCGTGACCATCCTAGTATAAACGAAACCGAGCCGAAACCACGACCATGTCCGTATCCGTGTACTGGGCTCGCCGGCCCTCGTCACAGAAGTATAATACAACAAGAAAAAGATTTGGTCGCACTGAACAATAAAAAACCGAAGCTCGTGGCCTCGCTCATTCCTCCATCACCGACGAAGGACCCGCCTCACTCTTCGGAAGCTGTTCAGACCTTCTCTTATTCGGAAGTGGCTTCATCGGTCGCATCGTCTTCGCGCCTGAGCTTGACTGCGCGCGTTCAGGCTTCTTGTCCGGAGTTGAGGTGAGTGAGAGAAGGTGTTTGCCTTCTTCGATCTGCTGCAAGACCGTAGAAACACTTCCGGTCTGCAGGGCAGTGAGTCTGGGGCCGGACTTGGGGTTTTGAATCTGGTCCTCGAGATCTCTGACTCTCGAGGCCAAGAGTGTGAGGTCCTCGCGTCCCTTCTTCGTCTTGTCACGTAAGGTAAGCCTGCCCGTACAGCTCATGGAGTACTGAGACTCCAGCTTCGCAATTTTCTCGTCCTTCTTCGCAAGTTCGGCCTCCTTCTTCAAAAGTTCGTCCTCGTGGGTCTTCTTGATCAGGTCCAAGATTCCGTCTTTGTTGGACAACTCTTGCGTCTTGTTTCTT